TTTTTTTTTTTTTTTTTTGACGATCAACGAAAAGGAAAGAAAATGTCGAAGAGGATTGAAATAAACCGAACTTTATTCCCGAAGAAGACGGAAGCATTTGCTCGCTTCTCTGTAATCCGCCCGATGACATTTTCTCGGCCAAGATCGCAACCATTATCGTGATTAAAAATTCGCTTCGAATCGAATGTTGAACGGATTTCAACGCTTCTGGAAGGTGCGAGGAATTTTTCTTTTTCTTTTTTTTTTTTTTTTTCTTTTCTCGTCTTCGGCAGAATTGGTAAAGACGAGCTGGCAGCCTGTTGGTTTTTCATCGGTTATTCTTCTCTCTTGGCTTGGCCACCGACTCGTTCGTCCGCGTCAATGGATCTCGCGCCTCTTTTTCTCGCATTTCGGAGGGGAGGGGGGATGGATAGAAGCGCGCCGTCAGCCAGGATCGTCTGCCAACCGAAGTGGCTGTCCCTTTATCAGTCGCCGGGAATTGTTTGCCATTGTTGGAGACGGCAAAGGAAGTGGAAGAAGCCCTGGCTTCTTGGCTTCTTTCGGAAGTTCACCGATGCCTGCGAAGTACGTAAACAGCGATGAACGAGTCTCTACGTTTACTGTCTCCGTGTATATGTGTGTGTGCGCGTGTGTGTTCGACTTTTCGATCGAATTATTCGCGATGTGTATTCGAAATGAAATGAATAATTGGATAAAGCGACGAGGAATTTATCGATCGAGGAATTAATACGATTCTTATAAAAATCGAATTTAAAAAACGAACTCTGGCTCTCTCGATTTTATCAAGATTATATATTGAATCTCGATCTCAAGAATCTCGATTTATTCGTTGCCAAAAAAAGAGGGGGGACGCTGAATATCGCGAGAATTGGCCCGATGATGCTCACAGATAGGAATACAATTCCATCCGTGTTTCTTCTCCGTCTTTCGAGGCTCGTCACGAGAGATGAAGGAGGGGGTCAGTTTATCTTTCCGGAATGAAGAAAGAACGAGATTGCAAGATTCGATGGTCGTTCTCGATAAGCAGTAATCGTTGGAATAACGGGGGAAAAGGAAGATTATTTTTTTTTTTTTAATTCGACGGGAAAACTCGTTTCTCCTCCCGTTCTTTGTTGCCGTTTATCGTTGCTCGTTGCAAAGCCACGACCACGAATTTAATAGAGCTCGGTGGCTCGCTCAATCGAGTTTCCCCGGCTGTTTGCCGGAGGAACGGTTGTTTAATAATTGGAATACAAGGAAGAAACAGCTTTTACCAAAATTGCATCGAGCAACTGTTCCCTTTCACGCGCCGTTGAAGATTTTCGAGACGAGATACACTGACGAGGCGATAAAAACTATCTCGGCTACGCTCGGTTTATTTTATCTCCTCGATCGTGGACCGTTTCACTTATTATTACTTATTATATTTGATGAAAATCAAAAGTGATCGTTGTGATCGAGAAATTCAAGCTTGAAAAGAAGCCAGCGACACGGTTATTTACACGGATGCTTAAGCTCGAATAATCATCGATTCATTCGTGGGGAGGCAAACAGCCGAATCTCGGTGAAAATCGGCGGCATTTATTCTAGAATGGCGGCATTGTTGGATAGGAGCTGGCGTATCTCGCACTTCCAAGTGCTTTCACCGCCGATTGCGAGCCTTGTCTCGGCGTACATCTCGACGATTCTGACCCCGCTGCCAACAGCCCTGTTCCACTTGCTCGATTACAATTCCACCCCCTTCCCCTCCTTTCACCCTCCTTCTCAAGCTTGTCTCGCTTTCTTATCGAAACCAAAGTGTCTCCTGTTTTTCTCTTCTCTCGGACGATATTTTCTATCTTTTTCTTTTTTTTTTTTTTTTTTTTTTTTTGTTTTATCCCTCGGAATAAAAGCGCGGAACGATGGATGGATTATCGATAGAAATCGATTTCGACGCGATTTAAACGCGATACCGATCGAGCTTAATGTCCGGCATTATCGATGCAGAAATCCCATTTCTTTTCCATTTGCGGGAACCGGTTAATCGAAAAGGAGAGCGGGCCCCGATTCGTGTAATTTGATCGGTAAAAGGATATTTAAAGGCAATTTCGGATAGTCTCGTTTCCTCCCGAGAAGAATTTATCCCGCCACGAGAATTAATACCACTCTCCCTGGCAACCCTCCAATTTCTCAACGAAAACAGCACCTCCTGGATTTCTTCCCTCGCCCCCGACGAAACTTAGAACCTTGGGTCGTTAATCCCATCATTCGCTGTAATTCTTCGAAAAAAAATATATATATATATGTACTTGGACTGTTGCAGAATCTATCGAGTCAGATGTTTTATCAAGCGTTTTTAGATACTTTGTATTCTCGCAAATTTTCGAAACGTTGGAAGTGTCGCTGATTCTTTGAGATTTGGACGAAGTCTAGAAAGTAAAACGCCATAAACGAGGAAAATTTCGGGAGAATAGGCTCGAACTCTTGATAAAGATATATAAATTTAATTAATCGAACAATGTTCCGTCGTGATACCTTTTTCGATGATATTCACTGTTCTTGGACGTGAATATTCGAATGGAACGTTGCCATTGAAATACGCAAATTTCCAGATATCCGCGAATATAAAACGCACAGATAGATCAAGATCGTGGATCTTTTCTTCTCTCGTAGACGTCGATGAGGAATCAGCTTCGTCGTTATCGAATCTCGTTTAAAGATTGTTTATTTTCCTCGCTATTTTTAAACTTGTGGTGAACCGTGATTAATCCTTCTATCGATCTTCTTATCGTACCTTTACCCCCCTCCTTTCGAAATTAATTATACGATATTTATTCGAATCCACGGATTAAATTTTCATCGAATCTCGAGTATCGAAATAAGAGTGATAATGTTGCTGTGGACACGCGTTGTATGCCAGATTTAGAAGTAAAAATATCAAAAGCTGCCAATAAAAGTATCTGGAAAGTAATCTGGAAAATTTACGTCGCAACGTAAAGTTGAAACGTTCCCTCTCCCCACCATTTGTCTACTCTTCGTCTATACGCATACTATTTCGAGGCTTATCCAAGCCAAGGAAATTTCGAATTCCATCTTAGCTTGAACTCCGTCCCGCAAGTCCCACGTATAAAAAGCCGAAAACGTTTGCCAATCTTCTGTTTCCACCGGCGAAGGATAAGAATGGAATAAAATACGGGATCTCGATAGAGCGATACTCCACCCCGATAGTGGAAGACTAACAAGCCTTATTTGTCGAGCAGTTTCGAAAACGATATCCAAACCAGTTTCCCTCCAGGCAACGACGAGCGATCGTCGTCGAATTGGCGTCGTTTTTTTTTTTTACTTTTCTCTCTCTCTCTCTCTCCCTCTCCCTCTCTCTTTTTCTCTCTCTCGAAACGCGTGGTCGCGACTTTACGACCTCGTACGGTCCTCCTCGGTGTATCGGTGCCTCCCTCGTCGTAATTTATCGCCGATGGGGAAGGGAATAGAAAACTTTTACGGGCCTTGCCTGTATCCTTTCCAACCAACGATCCCACATTTTTATTAATCCACTTCCCTCGTGTACCGGGCTAAATCGGGACTCCCGAATCTCGAAAATTCGAGCGAGGAAAGAAAATCGATCAGCCAAATTATTATTTTACTTATTTATTTTTTTTGGAATTTCGATAAAGAGGAAATTGGTGACGCATTATCGATCGAGGGGAATATTCGATGCTAAAGTGTTAATTAGTTCGGCACAATTGAATCGCAACGCACGGTGTAATCGAATATAAGGATTATAAGGAGGATCCTTTACGGAATCGTGCTCGATCCGTCTTCGAATTCTTCTTGAAATTCACGAAACGGGATGCGGCAATCGATTTGAACGAATGAAAGGAATTCTTTCTCGCCCAAACTTTCGACGAAACTTGGCCAATTGCGGAATTGGAATAATTCGCGCCCGTGAAAATCGACACGTCTCTTCGTTCCTTTCGAGATCCGGTTTAAACCGATCTCGTTTCCGAATTTTCTGAACTTTTCCTGAAGGAGAAGTAACGAATAGACAATGGAATTCGAACGAAAAGGATTGACGGGATATATCTTTTTTCTTCCGGTACGTTAGCCTCGAATATTATATCGAAATACGATTTTATTAAAAATCGGCGACAAATGTCATGCGCGTCAAAGGATTTTTAATTCGGCGCGTATTATTCACGATCATCGAATTCAACGAACAAATTCGACGATGGCGGGTGCTTCCCTCCTCCTCCTCCTTCTCCTCTCCCTCCGTCGATCGATATCATTTCGGTTCAACGCTCAGGCATAACCGAGAGGCGTTTTATTTTATTTTATTTTTTTTCTTCCTTTCTTTTCAATATTGTTTTTGCAAGCGGCGAGAAGAATGCGGCTGGAAACCATTGTCGGCCATTGTTGTCGGTATTTGGAGAGATTCCTGAACCCCTTCGGAAGGGGAAGACGGTTGAGCCGAACCGTAAACCGGAAACGACTCGAGACAAATTCGGGCCGCGTCGGTTTGCGAAAATGGAAAAATAACGGTCCTCCCTTGTAAATTCTTACGACTCTGCCGATCTTTTGCCCATTTCCCATGGCGCAAACATTCGGCCACAAGTTGGCCGGAGGAAGGAAATTGTTCTTTTATTCCGCGATAATTCGCTTCTCGGCGAGTTGGATCGGGAAGGGAATCAAGGCCGGAAGCGACGAATAGAAAAGAACGTCTTACCGGTGGGGATAAAAGAAAACTCACGGTTGTGGTATCTCCGCGATTGCACGAGACTCGTGGGGCTCGAAATAAAGGAAACGGAAGGAAGGAAAGGGTCCAGTAATTACTTTTCCATCCTCTTAATCGCTTCGCCCCGTCTCGTCCGATCGAGATTTCGAGATGAATGCCTCCTTCTTGGATCCTTCCTTCCTTCTTCTCCTTCTTCCATCCAATCCGTCTTCCCCGATTAATCGATTTCGAGAGAGATCCGGAGGAAAGTTTCGCTATAATTCTTTTTTTTTTTTCTATCTTGTACTTTGAAAAGAAAGAGGAATTTTCGAGAGATTCGAGAAACTTATTAACACCGTTTCTCATGCGAAGGGGGGAATAATAATTCGATTGGAGGAAAGGAAGGGAGGAAGCGATGACCGCGATCGAAGCGAGTTTGCGAACGAGACGATGTTGCTATTTTCGTTGGAGTAGCAAGTTGGCCACGTTCGAAAGTAGTTATTAGTTCGAACGGACGTCGAAGGCTAATCTAATCGGGATTTATCCCAAGTTTCCCTCCCCTCCTCCCTTCTACGTTGGTTATTGCCGTGTATTTCGATCCAGAAACTCTCTCCCTTTGCTTTGTTCCTTCCTTCCTTCCTTCCTTCCTTCCTTCCTTCCTTCCTTCCTTCCCTAAATTACGAATCGTACGGGTATTCGAGATTATAAATCCGATTCGTTACGATTAAGTTCATCAGCTCGTCTCGTGCTGCAATCGTGGCTCGTTTCTCGTTACTTGGGAATCGATCGACGTTCACCTTAACTTCCGTTAAGAGTCGATTCCACGTAGCTCACGTCACCTTGGTGGAATAACCCGTTTAAAAGCCGACGGGGGAGCGGAGGGAGGAACGATTATCTATCGTGGAATCGTGGTTAAAAGACGCCCGGCTCGGTTCATTTTCTCCACCCCGTTCCCCCATCGGCTCGGCGAACGAAAATAAACGGGGCTTATTTTTGCTTTGTTTTCTGCTTGCAGGAGTGGAACGATTACAAGCTGAAGTGGAACCCGGATGATTATGGCGGTGTCGACACCCTCCACGTGCCGTCGGAGCATATATGGTTGCCGGACATTGTTCTTTACAACAAGTAAGCTCGATCTAATTATCGGTGATCCGGTCACGCGACTTTTTCTTCTTTTTTTTTTTCACGGAGAGTTAATCCAACGGCCGTTGCCGCGTTGGATTAAAAAAAGAAGGAAAACGTTACGAAAGATGGAATTTCGATATCGATATTTTTTCTTTCTCTTCTTCTTCGACAATTTCGCGTGTCGAAATTAACAACGTAAATGACACGTTGAAGAGATTCGACGAGATAAGGGAAGAAAAGCGACGATGAAATACAATTACGGTCGAGGATCGTGCAATTCTGCCGGGAGACGTGTTGCGCGAAATCGCAACAATTGCGGCCGCAATTTGTTCGTTCGACCGATTTTATTTTTATAACCGGAACGGTCGAGTTAAACAGCTGCTCGAAACGTTCGCGGATATTACACGGAGCGTACCACCGGCTCAATATATATATATATATATATCGAGTTAAACGCGATAAACGAAATTAAAAATCGAAAAAATTTCTCGAACGTGTTTTTCTTCCTTCCACGTATATTTATTTAACGATATTATTTATTTATCGATCGAAGAATTCGCCTCCTCCCGAAAATAAGCTTTCGAATATTAAAAATCCGGAATAATGGAAGACAGTTAAAAATTTCAGATTCCCAAAAAATTACACGCGCGAACACGATCCGATGTGAAGGGGAAAAAGGGGGTGAATTATCGTTGGGGAGGAGAGATATTCAAGGGAGCTCAGGATATTTCATCCGTTCTTTCGCGTTAATCTAGCCCAGGTTGATCCCCTTTCTCCCATTCTTTTTCCGCCCGGCCAGTGTATCGGGGGGGAAGGGGAAGAGGGGGCAGTCACGCCTCCTTCCTCGTCGTCCGTCACCTCAGTCCGGCCATACTTCATAGGATTTTAGCGGGAAGCGCGGGGCACGGTATCTCGTAAACCGCCGCGGAATATTCCGCGCTGGTACGTGACGTTTCCACACACAGAAAGAGGGAAAGAGAGAGACTTTATCCTCTGGTAAGGCCATTTTGAAAATCCACGCTTGGAACGGGACACACACGCACACGTATTTCCTAGCTAACGCTGAGAAATAGGATGTACTTCGCCCCGAGGACGACACTTTTACGAGGAAGTGGAGTGGAGTCGGGACGACGCCGTTCTTGTACGCCTCTCCACCGACTTCGTATACGTTTATCTTATTTCAACTACTAACGAAAAATCGTTGGAAAACTTTCGGATCGAATCGAACGCGTTCATCGATCGAGCTATTCAACGTTTTCGGAATTTTCCTTTTCAAAATTTCCCTTTTCGAGAAAGTTAATTGGCCCTCCGAGGATGCGAATTCGAACATCTTCGTCCACCGTTTTTCTCTCGCGACTGTCGAAGTAACTCTCGAAACTTTCTCTTCGATTCGAAGGGAGAGATCGTGAGACACTCGTGAAAGTTGAAAAAGCGAATCGCGGGGACTGAAAAATTTTCGTTCCTCCTCCTCTGTGCAAAGGAGAGAGAAAGAGAAAGAGAGAGAGAGAGAGAGAGGAACGCGCTCGAAGCTTCTCGAAGCGTTTCCCCCCCCCCCCTTCTTTGACGAGGGAGCGCGCGATCAAACTTCCTCCTCTCCCCCTTCCCCATATGCGACGACGACGAGTACGTCTCATTGTCGCTTGGAAACGTGACAGGCTTTCGGAGACGGCGAAACGCTTTCGACGAGACGAATCTCGGCCAGTTTTATTTTCAATTACGCACGTGGAGTGGAAACACGACACGGCCACGCGCGTCCCACGATGATAAATCATAAAGAACGGCCGTTCTCCAAGTCGAAACTCTCGACATACATTACGCCCGTTTCAATTACTCGGGCGTAGAGGAGGAGGAGGAGGAGAAGGGAGGGAGGGGGACGAATCGATTGTCCTGGCGGCGCTTCGAAAGGCTCAAAGTATCGGAGGCTTTGTGCGCCCCGACAGCATGCAAATGCAAATGCAACCGCCTCCACCGCCCTCCCGTCCTTCCTGCAGCAGAGGGAAGGGGAGGGGGACACAGAAGAGAAGTAATTTGTATGGAATATTCGAATCTGATTAATAATTCACCGGGGTGGAATCCTGGAACTTTGCCCGGAGGGGAGGGGGTTGCGTTTGAAACGGGCCTCGCGGAGGGGGGAGGCTCGCAGTCGTCACCGGCGGCGGCTCGAAAGGGGCTCGTCCTTCGACGATTTCAGGATATCGATATCAGGCTGGCGTATAATCGCGGCATTGTCGAAGGATGAATTTTGATGGACGTTCGCCCCCGATTTCAATCCCCAACCCCCCGAAGACCCGGTGACCGTGTTCCTTTGACGCGATCGAATTTTAACCCCCTGTGTCGAGGGCGACTCGAGGCTGTTTAATAACTTGGTCACGGTTTTATCCTCTCGATGGAGGGGTGGAGAAAGGGGGGACAGGGCGAATTATTTATTAGCGCGGAGGATACGAACGAGCACGTAGCGTGGTAAAGTTCTCGAAAGCGAGACGATTCGTTCGATGCTTGGAATTCGTCGTGATGTCCATCTTTTTTGGGGTGAAGGTAGACTTGAGAAGGGCCTGGACCCCGTATCGAATCGAATCGAAGTCAAGTTGCTTCGATAAACTCGTCCTGCCTAAGTTCGATCTCGTCTCCTTCTCGACTCCTCCGCGACAAGTTTCACGATCCGTCGCGATGATATCGACTTTAACTGTCCTCCCCTCTCTCCTTATTATACCATTTACACTCGATAACCATTTACTATAACCATTTCGACTGAAAATACACCTCAGAAGAAATTGTTGCGAATAAAAAGAAAAAAAAAAAAAAAGAGAAAGAGTCGTCGTAGTTCGAGGAAAAGTTGAATTTGAATTTTATCGCGTCAATTATTAATTTCTCTCGTAACATTTTCCACCCCCTATCTAAACATTTTCATCATCGGATGGATGGATATATTCGCAGAGGCGTCGTCGACGAGCATCATCCCCTTTATTCATCGTCGAGCGGGAGAGAAGTGCACTCTACGAGATGGATACGATCGAGTGGCGACGAGAGCTAAGACGAAACAAATTTCGATCTCGAGGAATCGAGCGGATCTGCTCTTGTTGATCGTAGATCAACCCCGAGGAATAGGAAACTCGCGTGAATCATGGGGTAACCCTTTTCCATTTTCGATTGGTGGGAACAAATCGAGCACAATGGAGGGGACGTTCTTTTTTTATTTCGACGAATAAGTTTCAAAGAATTCCAGAGCTGGTAACGATTTCCAATTATTTAGAAAGTAAGTTCGATCGAGTTCGTCGAACTCTATCCAACTCCTTCTCTGCGTTTGATGCACGACGAGACAAAATTTCATCGTTCCTTTTCTCTTCTCGCCCAGAATATTATAAGCTTCTCGATTCTTACCACCCCTCGGATCCCAGAACCACCAACCTTGTTACATGAATTTTTAATTCCCCGTGGCCGAACGTACGTACACCTTCCCCTTAATATTTTACAACCCTGCATCCGCTTATGAAAGCAATTTCTATGTATACATGTAAATTAACCGACACTCGATGGAAACGTTTATTAAACCGAAGAGAGGGGGAGGAGAGGAGGGGATTTCGCTATAAAAAGAAAGTTTGTCACGAGTTCGAACGGGGGTGAGATTATTTCGGGAAAGAGGGGAGTGGTGACGAAGTTTTCCACGGGGAAAATCGATAAGTCGGGGGGAAGCTGGAGGATCGAGTCGCATTAAGATTAAATTTAATTAAGAAACGATCGAGGGAAACGCGTCTCTTTTATCCCCCGATAAAATCAATGGAATCGATACCGAGCCGCATTCGATATTAACCCCGCGATAAATCTGAATTCGATGAATTCCAAGCCGAATATCGCGCGATTATTCCATTACTCGTCGTCGAGCTTATCGATTGTAAGGAACGTGAAGCTTTGTGAATTTTCTTTAACGAGGTTTGCCTCGAAACGGATCGTCAACGGCGTTTTCCTTCAACCTTCAATGTTATTTTATTTCCTCATCTTAACAAGTCTTTGCACGCCTTGCGTCCGGCCTGTGCCTGACTTGTTTCACTTACCACGATGATGGAAATTTAATTCTTGAGCAATCGCTCAAAGTAAGACTATATTTTTTAAATTGGAAATTTTAGATCGAAACAGATATTGCAACGTGTGTCCAACGAGGAAGGAAATAAAAACGAGGGGATGGAATTTTGGGTATTGAAAAAGAAGCGGAGGAATATTCAAATTTCGGATATTAAATCTCGAGGTTCATAAATCTCGTGGAAATTATCGGTTCCTTCTCTCGAGGGCGTTCCACGGATTTCCCGGTGATATAAATATTCACGTTTCATCCGTTTAATTGTGGAGTACACGCGAGAAAGTTGCGGATTTATTAGAAGATTGGCGAAAGATGCAAGCTTGCGTACACTGCAATATTCGCGTAGGCAAGCGAAAGGATGGGAGCAAGAGATTCAGTTTCATTTATCAAATTTCATTTCTCTGTGCTGCTCGTGTTTAAATAGAATTTTCGTTCGGGAAGCTTGATAAAGGCAACGGGCTATTCGCAGGAGCGGAGAACAATAATGGTAACGATATTCGCGGTTAATCGAGAACC